AATATCTTATGAAGAAGTAGAATCAAATGAAGGGACGAAAGATAATGCATAAGAGGACGTGCATACAGAAATAAAACTATTTGAAAAATTGACCTTCTCTTTTAGGGGGCAAAACTAGAGGATTAGCATTAAGTTATAATGATTAGAATATTGGCTAACATTGCTTTAGCAGACTCGTCTTCTTTTCGCGTTAACAGATGTTACTGTATGAGAAAAACTGATTAGGCACTAAAATATATGAGATGTCTGACGAAGTAAAAAGTAGAAAAATAAAAGTTTTGAATTATTAGACTAATAAAAATATGAGTAATTTTAAGGTTTTTGTAGATAAAAGTTATATATCTGTGCATATACCAGTAAGAACTTGAAACATTTAATGATGAACATTGGTTACCATTAATCGACAACAATAATTGCTTCTGTTCTTACTTACTGATTCAGCTTTTACTTTTTATTTTTTGGTTGCTTATTAATTTAAAACTTTAACTGCTATTGTTTGAGCATTTTTGCATGATGCATTCTGTTCAATTGGCTTTCCAAGGCATAATTTCATCTTGGAAACGGCATACCGATTTTGCTTTGGACATTGTGTTTGCAGCCAACGATCGTTTTTTGCTCTTCTGTTTACAAGGTTTCTGATTTGTTTGCTTCAGAAATTGTACATTAGTTTATGTGTTCTGCATTTCTGCAACATTTTATGTTTCTATTTCAGTTTTTCAAAATTTTTTATCTGTTTTATTCATTTTTTGTTTTACGTGTTTTTTTTCTTTTTTTTTTTTTGTTTAAGTGTTATTTTATAGAGTTTGCTTTAGTTACTGTTTGCCTACTGTGTTAATTTATGACAGTTTTGTGTTCATTTCGTCGTTATTTTTTTAAATGTATGTATGGGTTTTTTTTTTGGTTTATTTTTCTTCAATTCATTTCAGTTGTTCTAAGTTTTGTAATTTTAGTGCTCTTAGAAACGTTAAGCCTTTTTTTATTTTTATTTTTTAAAGCTTCAACTTCTTTTTTTTTTTACAGCTTTTTCACAGTTTTTGTAGCTGTAGAGTTGTAGAAGCACAAAAAAAAAAAAAA